ACTACCTCCTTCTTTCCACCTCTGCCATCTATTCTTTGTTATATCACTTTCTTTAGTTACCCTGATAGCACTTGTAATGATCTCAGTTGATATCCCAGTTGACAGCTACTCCATCCCTCCAGTTGCTGAGGCCCTAAACCTTGATGTCATCTTTGGCTTCCTCTTCCTTTTATATCCCATATTCAAACAACCAGGAAACACTGATAGTTCTGTCTTAAAAATGCAAGCAATCTGACCACTTACCACCCCTCCTCTGCTACCACCCTGTCTTGGTTACGAGATAGCCACTTAAGTGAAACGTTTTCCTGCTTCTACATTTGCTCTTTCATAGTCTGTTCTCAACAAAACAGTCAAAATGACCCTTTTAAAACTGTTCAAATCCTCCAGTGGCTCCCCATTTCTTGCAGAGTAAAATTCTTACCGTGGTCTACAAGGCCCAGCTATTTTACCCTGCTAGCATTTGAACACTTGAGGACAAAAATGATTGCCTTCAATGTTCACTAAAGTATTCCAAATACCTAAAAACACCTGGTACGTAGTAGGGGCTCAATAAGTATCTGTGGATTAAACGACTGGATCTTGTTTGATTACTCATTGTTTATGTTTCCACTGGTGGAATGTAAGATACATGGGGGCAGGATCCTTATTGGTCTTGTTTAATGTTGTATCCAAAGCACTCAGAACAGCACCTGGTAGACAGTAGGTGCTTGACAAGTTCTTGTTGAAGAAATAAGTGAATATCTACCTTGAAAAGATCATTGCAACTGCTTACACTATGCTGAGTTAATTGAATACAGGTAGCATAGTTTCCATTCATCGCTCATAGGCAGCTCTCTGTTGTGGATGAAGAGAGTTATATAACGAAGAAAAGAATGAACTGTTCATATAAATAGAACTTTATGGGAAGCTGTATATAGGGTTGTGGTTGCCCCAAAGTTACAATCATGTGGTGAACTGGAATACATTCAGTGTATATCAATCCTTTCTGTAGTTTGCCTTGCCTATACAAACTCTTCTGCTTAACCTCCTCAGGAAAAAGAAAGCTACTGCTTTCCTGGTTATCTGTAAAACTGCTTACCACAGGGGCTTTTTTTTTTGGTTTGTTTACAAAAATGAAAAAAAAAGTCATTTCAGTGTCTAAGAGCACTTTGTATTCTTGAAGGAGAGATTCATGCTGCCAATGACTTACATAACCTATTTTGTTTTTCATCTCTATGGAAGAGCATTCATATCACTATCTTCCTGTGTGCCAGTGCAGGGGATCCAAAACTATTCTCTGTGATTGTTTGGGTTGTTAATCTCTCCAGGGTTTCCTCAACATTCTCCAAGGCAGTTTCTGGCACCAAAGGGAAAATGGAGAAGTTGAGACGCAATTTTATCTCCCAATTGAACTTGATTAAATGGGGACTGTTCTAATCAAAAGTTTGAATCCTAGGGGAGTGTGATGTTGTTAATGGATTTGAGAATATTTGAGAAGAACAGGGAGGAAGAGTACTAAAGTAAAGACAGAGAAGGAATCAGGCAAGACAATAATTGTAGTAAAGCTTATTAAGGCATAAAATTAGGTGAACAAATTGCTTCCCAGATAGTGTTAAGCTCACTGCTAGACTGGCAAAGGAAGTGGAGGAAAGCTCTTTGAAAACATTATTTTTATTATTTTAATAATTTGTGTAGGAATCATAGTAGCTGCAATCTGTTAGCCAGAAACAATTGCCAGCTGGTGTCATCGTGGAGTAACTATAGTAGGCTGAATGCAAACATGTCTTTTTCTTTTTACCTGGAGAGCATTCAATTTTAGAAAGTTTCTATTCATTTTCGCCTGAATGTGAGGTCTGCCCTTGTAGATAAGGAAGCCTGTTTATTGCGTGATTTAACAGCTTCGATTAGGTTCCCACCAAGTTCCACAACTGTAATAGGGAGACCACACCTGGGGCAGTCTGTATTTACACAACCAAAGTTACCTATCATTAAAAATGAGCACTTGGGTACACGCCTGAGTTATCTACGTAATTGCTTGCTTCTCTGCATTGCTTTCATTGTGGTTACCTCAAGGAAATGGTGGTGCTCCATCAGTTATTTTGCTGAAAGCAAAAACATCTTCTGGGATAACATTCTTTGAAAAGGGTTAAAGGTACACTTATTTATGGAAACATACATTTTGTTAGCAATATAGCTGTTATATTTGTCATAATTTCTTCTTCCGAAATTCTCCTAAATAATTTCTTTTGACAATGATATAATCATGTTAAGATTGTTATTGTCTTTCCCCTGTCTATCTGGAAACTCACAGGCTAGGTGCCAAAATACTACAGGATGTAGAGATTTCTCAGCTTTGCCTATAAAGCCAGAGAGAGGGGGAAGATAATTTAATTGTTCTATTGCAATTCTATCATCTCTTCCTGCCTCTTGACACAGTCTCAAGAGGGGATAGAGGAATTATGGTCTCTGTTGTTGATGTTCATTGGATCTCTTCAATGGTGATTTGAACATATTTCAGGGATGTTAGTGGTTTTTAATCCTGGATCTGCTGTCATCTAGTTTTCCTTGGTTCAGTTTCCTCATCTCTGAAATGGGATATTACACTTCTCTTATCTCCTTAGAGTGTTGTTCTGAGACGCAAATGAGATAATGGTTAGGAAAGTGCTTTCTATTATACAAATTGCCACCAGCACTCAGGTTATACATTTGGGTAGCTAACAAGGTTATATTTATCCATGTGATATCAAGTGATTTTATCGAAAATGAGAAACTTCCAAAATAAAGTAATATAAAAAATATAATGAATTTGTACTTTGCCAAAGCAAAGGTAACATTTTTAAAAAGAGGCAATACCATTAGTTAGATGCACTCAGGAAATAATTGTTGGGTTTTATTGGGTTTTTGTTCTATCAATTTCTTGCTTTGGAGTGTAGTGTGATGCCGTTAATAGAATTTTAAACTTTAAGTGAGAGAAAAAGAAATAGAATCAACTAAGCATTAAAACAGCTGATTCATTTTACCCAACACCTTTCTTACTAATATAGGCTCGTACAGTACCAGGAAGGGCACTGTTTGTGGTTGTTTATAGAGTTGAAAAGAGGAAAGGAAGCAGAGGAAGAAAGCTTTGTTGAGAAGAATCTCACCTGCCCAGAACAATAAAAATAACTCCCTATGGGAAAGCGTTAGCATCTCTGGAAGAGATCTGGGTCTTAACTGATGGCTGGGAAGGGGACAGTCTGACAAATGGAAGAGATCAGCACTGTGTCTCAGGAAGAGTCAAGTACCGCATAGATCCCCGAAGAGGCCAGGTGGGAAGCCTGGCTGCTGTGAAGGCGTGGAATGCCAGGCGTAGTGGACTGGGAGTGGCAGGGTAGCCAGGAGGGACATGTTGGCCTGCACCTGGGAATCAAACTGCATTGTCTCCGCCTTCAACACCCTGCCACTCTCCTCTTGGGTCAGGCAGGCCCAGGGATTGTGGAGGGGCAGTTACTTCAATTTGATGTTACACCTAATCATTATCTGAAAAACAGAGACTGTTAGTCAACAAAGATTTGGTTCTCAGGTAGATGCAAAATTTAATGTTTGCAAAATAAAGTTTTAAAAAACATTTGCATCTAAACGGAGTTTATTTAGCTTATGAAATACAGTTAAGAGTAGGTCCTATGGTCCACGTTGCGGGGAAGGGGGGAATCTCGCACGTTTTGGAGCTCAGTGTGTATTAGCAGGATGAATTTTAGGAGGTGACCCATAAACTCCTCTTACGTTCTAAGTACTGCATGGTTGTGGGCTGGATGGTCTGGTGCTGGAAGAAATGAAGCGTGTGTTGAACACAGAGCCTGAGATACGTAGGCTCCTGATGGATAACTGATGAATGGATGCTGGTTGAAGAAAGCTGTAGAGTTGGACCAAGTTGTGGAGGAGCAGTTGTAGTTAAGGAACGACTGGAATAAAACTTGAGGACCAGTTAGAATGTCTTGGGTAGAAATTAAAAGCGGGCTGGAGCCAGTCTCCCTTGCCGACAAGGGACCGGCCAACTCGTGTCAAGTCCGGTTTAGGTGGGTCTGCCCAGCAGCGTGCAGGTGTTATCCCTGCAAATAGGCCAGCCAGATTTCTGTCCACTCAGATTGAGAAACTGCAGATCTGGCGGTCTCAGATCAGCGCCAGCGACGCTCTCCTTGGGCCTGTCCTCGCTCCGCCTTTGCCTTTCCCCCAAATCTATTCTCGCTCTCGGCTGAAGGGATTCCCACCCCCAGCTGCCTCCTCCGAGCCCCGTGGAGCGGCCGACTCCTCCCCTGGAAACTCCTCCGGGGCTGGGGAAGGCTTTGGCGCATGCTCCGTACCTAGGGCAGGTTTTTGCTGCGGGTAGCACGGCTCCCGTCACACCGGCTGGCGGGTTGTGGCGGTGCCAGCCTGTGTGTGCGAGTGTGTCTGCGTGCCCGCGCCTGGGCGGACCGACCCGGAGCAGCAGTGCGACTCGCCTGGAGAGGCGGCTCCGCACAGGCGCCTCGCCCGCAGCGGCCGCAGGGGCTCCTCGGCAAACTTGCGGCGTGCGCCGGCCGTCCTCGCGCCTCCCGCGCCCCGCGACCGGAGGGCACAGGCGCCGGGCGCGCGGGCGGGGCGCGGTGCCCGCGGCCGGCCGGGACGGCGGGGCCGGGCCGCGCCTTCGCCCTTGGCCGGCGCCCTGGCGAGCCTCATGCAGCCCCCGCGCTCGCGGCCGCAGCTGCCCGGGGCAGGTCCAGCACCCGAGCTGCGCTCCGCTGCGCCTGAGCGCCCGAGCGCCGGCGGCGGGATGCCCCGCGTCGCCTGAGAGCCCGCGCCGCGCCCGGGAGGGAGCAGGGATCCGGCCGAGCCGGGCGCCCCGGCAGCGCAGGGCTCCCCACGCCGCAGCCGCGCGCCGGCGCCCGCCTTCCCGCTCGGCTCCCAGGCCCCGGCCCCGCCAGCCCCCGGGTGCCGCGGGGCCGCCAGCCAGCCGCACGCCTCGGCGTCAGGGGCATGGAGGAGCGGCGGGCTCGGAGCCGCGCCCCGGAGTCCCCGAAACTTCCGAGCGGGCGCCCGTCCGCGCCGCTGCCGCCGCCGCTTCGTCTGCCGGCCTGAGAGCAGGACCATGGATGAAAGGTTCAACAAGTGGCTCCTGACGCCGGTGCTCACTCTCCTCTTCGTGGTCATCATGTACCAGTACGTGTCCCCCTCCTGCACCAGCTCCTGTGCCAACTTCGGGGAGCAGCCCCGCGCGGGGGAGGCCGGCCAGCTTGCAGCTGCGGGACCCGCCCGCCGGGCACAGCCGCCCCTCGAGGAGTGGGAGCGGCGGCCCCAGCTGCCCCCACCGCCCCGGGGGCCTCCCGAGGGGCCGCGGGGGGTCGCGGCGTCGGAGGACGAAGACGAGGACCCGGGGGACCCCGAGGAGGAAGGGGAGGAGGAGGAAGAGGAGCCGGACCCCGAGGCCCCCGAGAACGGCTCCTTGCTCCGGTTCGTGCCTCGCTTTAACTTCACCCTGAAGGACCTGACCCGCTTCGTGGATTTCAACATCAAAGGGCGCGACGTGATCGTGTTCTTGCACATCCAGAAGACCGGGGGCACCACGTTCGGCCGGCACCTGGTGAAGAACATCCGGCTGGAGCAGCCGTGTAGCTGCAAAGCGGGCCAGAAGAAGTGCACCTGCCACCGGCCCGGCAAGAAGGAGACGTGGCTCTTCTCCCGCTTCTCCACCGGCTGGAGCTGCGGGCTGCACGCCGACTGGACGGAGCTCACCAACTGTGTGCCGGCCATCATGGAGAAGAAAGACTGTCCCCGCAACCACAGCCACACCAGGTACTGTCCCGTGCCCCGTCCCGCTTCCTGCCACTTCCCTGCCCATCTCCCCCATTCCCCGACCTCGGGTGGCCCTGCGCTCTCTAGGCGTGCTGGTGGTTCCCCAGCATCTTCTGGGGATTGGGGCACTGGTTTTGGGAGAGGGATAAGAAGCCTCTGGATAGTGCCCTGGTCTTGAACTCGCTCCTCCCCTCGCCCCATCGCTTCCTGCCACTTCCCTTTCACCTTCAAAGGTGTCCGGAGCCGTTGTGTGTGTCCTTCCTTGTGCCCAGCATGGTGTGACCTCCCTCAGAGCAGACGCTGGGAAAACCGTAGAATGGCAAGGAGCCTGGGTTAGACCAACAAGGTCGGATCTTGTACTTAAGTTATGTGAGTGGAAACCCAAACCTGGTAAAAGGCAGGGGAGCTTGACATAGAGAGGCAAGGCCGGAGGTTTCCAGGCATGCTGAAGCCAGAGACGAGACTAATCCCTCCATAAGTGGTTCTTGGGTGGCTGCTTGCCAGCTCAGGAAACAATCCTCTTGATGCCGCTTTGAAGATATGCGTTCAAAATTCCTGCTCTACCTCGATAACCCTAATTCTGGAGATGGTCTTTGTTGCTGAGCAATGCCAGGATTTGGACTCATGCTGTTCTCAGCAAGATTTCCACTTCCCCCCAGGACAATCCACCAACTCATTCCAAAAGTATTTGTTAAATGCCTACTGTGTGCCTGGCAGTGTGCTAAATGCTGAGTGAATATAAGAATGTAATAAGTAAAATCCCTTCCTTTCAGGATAGAATGGCTTTCTCTGCCACCCACCCCCCACTTTTAAATAGTAATACTGCTGAGAATTAGGAAAGTTTGAAATCTGAATAGCCAATGAAACTGCTTACATTATTAACATCTTTTGAGAGAGGCATAGGCTTAAGAATTTGGTTGAATGTTCTTTCTGCCCAGTGCAGTTTGAAGATTAATCTGACATGCTTGCTCAAGGGACTAAAATATTAAAAGCTTGAAACACTAGTTTATTGAAGTTTTTATCTTAAAGGTTTCAAACAATTTGGTGTAAGGAAGTAGAAATTTAAAAACTCAAGCTCAATATGTTGATATCAGTTAGCTTTTGCATTTGACATTATGGAAAAGCTTCACTTACTGGAAGCTACCCAGATTCTGGAATTCACCACCACTGAAGCATCTAATTCTACTTCATTTCTCCAAGAATGAGCAAAATTTCATTATGGGATTTTTTTCCTCTGGCAGTTTTTCAAATACTTTCTCTCCTCCTTGCTCCTTTCACTGTTTAATGGAAATTGGTTAGAATAAGAGGCTGGTTGGGCTGGGAATGAAGGCATGAGACTCCTCCCTTAGTATATTTTAAAGACCTTTTTACTTTTAAAGATTTCTAATTGTGTAGTATTTTAGATCCTGCCACTCTATTTTAGCTTAAAACAGTTTTCCAATTAAGTTTTACTTCAAACTTTCTAACATACAATACTAATATTTTAGTGAGAGACAATCTCTGCTACATTTCACCCCAAATTGCACTTTTTGTTTTTAGGCGCCTATGTATTAATTCCTGAACGATCCAAAAGAGTTTGCTGGTCTGATGTCCAGCTTCTATTTCACTAAAACTAGAGACTTTGATTATCAATAGAAGCATCTAATGACTCTTCAGTAAAGATCAGCATTATTTTCGACCAATGTATATAAAAGTCTTAGTAGACAGGTGAAGATTTTGAAGGAATTAGAAATTATAGAATCTAAAACTAATTGGACTTTTGCTTAGTGATGAAGTGATGCTGCTGCCACAGACCACGCATAGATTACAGCAGTAAGGTCTCACTTTTATAGGAGAAACTCAGTGTCTGTCTGCTCTGTAACATGGGAAAATTCCACCTCGGCTATTTGAACATATGGTTTCTATTGCACAGTCAAATGCTTTTCTTTGTTTAGCGATGGACCATGAACACTCGTGTCTCCCTGAATCACAAGTTATCAGATAATCACCCTGCACTGTTTTGTTTTAATTTTTGTGATAGTGTGTTTTTTGGTACCACTTTTATGATCCTTCTTCCTTTTCCTCCTCCTCCACTCTCCCCTTCTTAGTTACTTTTCTTCTCTAGATGCTGCAGCATCTAGATGGAGTAGTTGTGGTTTATGTGAGGTGTCCTGCATCAAAAGCTATAGGGAAAAAGTTGAAGAGATGTTCAGTAGCATCTTCCTCACAGAGAAGATTGAATTAGTTGTCTGTCATTGGAATGTCTGGGTATAACATTCTACAGTCAACTAGATTAGCCTGGATAATGGAGGGTACATTTCCACAATGCAAAATGGCAGATAATCTATTGCTACATAATGGGAACAAGTTTCTTTTTCAAATAGGGCTGACTCTAAGCAAAATCAAGAATAGGTCATGTTGATTTTAACTTCCTAGTCTCTTTGCTTTTGGTTCTCCCCAAGCTTTCCCTCCCTGTTTCTCACAAGGATCAGTGCCCCCGTGGGTCAGGTAATGGTAAGAGCAAAGATTCTGGAGTCAGATGGATATGGATCTTGTGCTTACTAGCTGTGTAACCAGGAGTTACACAGTACTCTTTCTAAGCCTCAACTTCTTCATCTTTAAAGCATAGGTAATAATTAGTGCTTCTCTCGTAGATGTGTTATGAGAACTGAGTGGCCAAATGCATGCAAAGTGCTTAGCATAGTGTCTATGCATAGTATAATATGCCAGTATATGATACTTAGTACTTAATATGCAGGTATACAGTAAGACTTAGACATTAGTTGTCAATTGTAACAATATTTTCCATCATCAAGACCTTCTTTCACAAAAGGATCAAGGTCAGTTCCTTAGAGCAGCTCAGTGTAAATGGGTCACTTTAATTTCTAGAGATGCCATTGTATGATTTTTTGTATTAAGACAGAACCCAAAGTTCCAAACTTTAAAAATAAATTGAAAGTTATAGACATTTGGGCATCAGTTATTGCAGGGAACAAGATAGGAAACAGGGATGGAGGACACATGATATAATTGGGTATATATTCTGTTGATGACAAGAAAAACTGGAATAGTGAGAGAGGAGGTAGGAACATCTAGGACCAAAGGTAGAAGTGGGAAGCCAACTCTGAAAGGAGATGCATGGTGAGGTTGAAGGAGCCATCCTGTGGATTATATGGGCCCAGGAAGGGGCAAGGCTCAGAGGCTGGCAGTTTAGATCCAGCGCAGAGGGCATTTCTGATCACAGAAATTGGTTAGAATAAGATAGGAAGCTAATAGGAAAATGGCACATCTGAATGACCTCTTTTATCATATCACTGATGATTTCTTCCCATTATTATTCCTTTGCTTTTCCCCCCAATTATTTCTTTGGTAGGTTATTCTTTCTTATTATCTTTATGCTTCCTTCTTTATTACTGTGCATTTTCTCTTTATCTGCATGCCCAGGTCTTTAGAAGACTCTTCTTTACCATTGTTGAGTATGCATAGAATCACAGCTTTTTTTTTTTATGGCTAAAAAAGACTGAAGAGATATTATAGTCCCACGATTTATACTGTTGGTGGGTAATTTAATTCTAAGGCGGTGAAATGATATGTCTAAGGTTTCCCCAGGGAACTCGTGTCTTCATTTTGGTGATTTATATTCAATGTTTTGCCAATTGTTCCTTCTGTTTACTATGGAAAATATAGTGGAGGGTGTCGTAAGCACTTCCTGTGTGCCAGGCACCGTGATAGTTCTAGGAATATGATTTTGAACAGATATTGTCAGCCCTATGGAGCTTAGGCTGTTAGGGAAGATAGACTTTGATCTTCTTTGGTGAGTATTGTTCTCATAAGAGTATCTCTTAAATAACGCTGGAAAGAGATTCCATCCATACCTTTTGTAGGGTGGGATGGCAATTTTTCTCTTTTATGACCCACGTTTTATTGGTCCTATTAGAGTAGTTGGAACCCTATGAATATTGTAATAGATTGTAATAGATAGGTGTTGCAAATGAAAACCTAAATTTAGCTGAATTCAGCCAGAGAAGAATTATTGGCTTAAATAACCAGACCACAGGAAAGGTAGTGGTAAAGTTGGTTTCAGGAATGACTGCAACTGGAGATTTTGGGTCTTTCTCCCTACTCTCCTTTGCATATTGACTTCATTCTACCAAATTGGCTTATCTCATTAAATGGGTAAATAGCTGTCATCTCCAATAGCTCCACAAGCCAAGAGGAAAGTAGGCCTTCTCTGAGTTCCAGTTTGAAATCTTGAGGAATGACTCTGATTAGCCTAGCTTGGAACTTGTGAGTATTCTTTCAACCAATCAATGTGGCCAGGGAGATGAGGTTCTCTGACCCACTTTTCATCGTAGAACCATCCCCATGCCTGGTATGTGTGTGTGTGTGTATGTATATATGTATGTGTGTTATCACAAGAAGGAGAGCTAGCATAGATATGGCTCCTGGGTAGACCATTGGGTTCTGGACAGTCCTTCCAGTTGTGTCAGATATAGGTGTAAATAAGTGAGAAATAAATGACACTTCAGATCTCTTCTTTGCATTCCATTTAGGAACGTTTTTAAGTCAGACTACAACTCCAGTTTATTTGCAGCATCTGGGAACCATGTCATATGAGGAATAATTGAAAGAATTGATATTTAATACAGAGATGGGAAAAATAAAGAAAGAAATAAAGGTTGTTTCCCATGCTCCAAGAAGGAGGATGTGGGAAGATGGAGGAGACTTCTTCTGTATTTCTCCAGAGGACGCAACTAGAATAAGTAGGATAAGGACAGCAATTCAGAGTAAGAAAGAACTTCATAAAATCTGTAACTGTCTAAAATGAGAATGAACTCTTTTGTGAAGTGTTCCCCAGTGGTGAAAACTTTAGCCATGGCTGATTAGCCATTGATGTTGTAAGAGGAATTCCTTCCTGGGGAAGGGCTTAGCCTCTATGGCCTTTTATTTTAAGATTTTGTATTCTAATCTACGCTGAGTTCAGAGCATCTTCTTTCTTCTCCCCTTTTCTGCTCTATGCA